GAGATTTATTCCCTTTTATTTTCACCAGGGGAAATTAGGCTGTCAGGATCTATTAACCCGAAGCAAGCCATTATCCCTCTCATGATTATCACCTTACGGGGCTGGCTGCAAAAGGCTCCCAGGCTCTGTGTGACGGGCTGCTGGCTCTTACACACCCCTCACAGCCACCCTGCCTGTCCCACTCAGGGTGCAGCTGCACCCAGCTGACCAGCCTGCAGAGGATGAAGCCAGAAACCTGTGCCTGAAGTGACACATATCCCCTTTCTCCACTGACACCCAAGGCCCTGCACTTGTGCCCTAATGTTCTGACAATCCCATTGAAAAGCATCCCTCTCTCATGTCCTTGTAGCAAACCAGGAGACTCCCAGGGTAGGCATGGAGCAGAGTCAGGAGTGCATGCATGGCTCAAGACAACACTGACATTCACACTCAAATGTAATATAGGTTTCTCCATTTGCCTTTTTACAGTGTCTATATCTGGTCACTTCATGAGAAGGAAGCAGGATATCAAAAGAGATACTCTCAAAGCCATAGGGACATAAAGCATCCAAAAACAGAGAAACTAGTTGGCTAAACACCAGAATGGTGCTCTCACCAAATTTTGTTTGAGAAATGTGCAGATTGGTTAGTGGCAGTTTCTGAGGAGGCTGGGGACTCAAGTTAACCTCAGCTGAGGCACTGTTGTGGAGAACAGCCATCCTCAGGGGCTGTGTTAATTCTCCTACTAAAATCTCTGCTCTACACATTCAGTGTGGGGTTTTCAAAATCCCTTAAAATGGTCAAATAAAAATTAGTTGCCGTTGGATCCAGGCCCTGTGCTGTTCCCCAGTGGGGACTATTTCCATAACAGACTGCATCTCTCAAACTCCACCAGTCAGACACACTAAATGGGAGCTGTGAAGTACGGACCTGAAAATAGGATTCATGCCCTCTTGACTTCTAGAGCTGAGTGCATTTCCCCAGGCAACAAGGGCATTTTGACTGGTGGAATGGCAGGCACTATGGGACACAGTTTTCTTACCTTAAGTTTTTCCAGCCACATGAAAAACAGTCTGTGTTTTTAAAGCTCTTTTGAGGCCCACCCAGTTGACTGCAGAGTGAAGTTCACTCACATACAGTGCCTCATTTCTGAGATGCACACTTAAGCCCAGGAAAAACACTCCACAGTACAAGCTCAGTATGTGATTTTCAGTGCTAATAGTGTGGTAAAATCAAACCAAATTTCCTTTGGAAAAAAGGCACACATCATTCTTCAGTGAGGTGCATTACTGCCTTAAATCACAACTTTCAAACATCTGCCATTACTGCTGAAAAACAGCTTAAGAAAACCATCACCGCCTAAAAGACATACCCTCCTCTTTTACTTTTCTCAGGAATAAATACCTAACTATGCTCTTGTTTGAAAGGATGGAATAGGAAAGAAAAGAAAAAAATGAAAGAGCTTTATTTCAGACCAGAAAGCAAGTATGACAAATTTTTGCTAAATGCAGAATGCCTCCCAGGCTCGGTCTGAAAACAGGATTTCAAAATTTCAAGTACCTTGATAATCTTTAATCCAATACTAACTGCACCAGTCCTAGCTAAAAATTCTCTAGCATTTCTGTCACTTACAGCTCCCAGTGGATATGGGAAGAGTGAATGTGGGAAGTACATCAGGGAAGAATGAATGTGGGAAGCACATCAAGGCAGATGTGTGTTGGTCATTGCTCTGCTAAGTGAAGAACAGCCAGCTTTCTCCTAACAGCTGGTTACCAGACCTGGCACTGCAAGTGAGAGTCCAGCTTGGGACTCAACCACTGCAGCCAGGCCATAGCTCCCTGGGAAAGGCTGAGCTGCACCATCTGGAGTTGGCTCATACCTTGCCGTGGGGGCATCTGCATTCCTCTGATATTCAGCCTCTCTCTGCAGAGACACACACACAAGAAGAAAAACAGAGACTGCACATCCTGTGCATGTGGTTTGAATTTTCCCTCCTGACAGCAAATGGGGATCAGCCCTCAAAGTTCTGGCCAAAGGCAGGTATGTTGCCAAGCAAACCACCAAGATAGTGTGTTTCCATGCATGTGCTGATACCAAGAGGCAGGATTAAAAATAAACCCTGTTGAGCAAGCTCCTCTGATCATTTATTTGAGGCTCTATGAGCTGTGAGCATTACAGCCATGCTCATGGATTGGAATATGACTGCTCCTGCAAAGAAAATGGTGTCCTGGAATCACTTGCAATGAGGCACTCCCAGAGCAGCCCTGATGGCACAGGGAGTGTGCAAAAGCCCAGCTGGGAACCTAAGGGCCAGCCTGCACCCCACAGCCACTTTGTCTTGGGGATGTTTGAGCTAGGCCTCATGTGTTGTGGAGCTTGTAACACCAAAGTGCTCTGGGGAGAAAGGAAAGGAGCAGTCTCTGACACACCATTCCTCATTTAATTCCCTCAGGAGTGGGATGGTGCCAGAGCTGGCCAGAGTAATTAAGCACACCATCTGGGCCTCCGAATCTCATGTACGAACAGACCAAGCCTGCATCTAGTTAACTCTTGTGCAACCAGTCACACACTGAGAGAAGTTACACACCAGGATGAACAAAAATTTGGAGTAGGCACTAGGGGCACAGCTGTAGAGCCTTACACAGGTGCACTCGGCGCTGCCAGGCTGAATTAGACACTCTTCAATCCAGCCACAAGAAGGGGCAAATGATCCAAGGATGGACAGGGTGCCATCTGAAAATGATCGACAACAGCACTAAAAACAATGGTTGTGATCTTTCAGACTTGTCAGTGAAGGCAGTCAACCCTCTCCAGAGAGTGAAAATTAAAAAAACCAACGAAAGTGACCCCGTCGGCAAGAGCTGGGGGCTGGCCAGCTGCCAGTCACAGCTGCCTCTACTGAAGGATTTCCCAGGTTCAAATGTTGCAAGTCAGGAGAGGAGCCAGTGTCCAGATGGTGCACTGCAGATAGAAAGCAGCAGAAGTCCTTGCAAGAAAAACTGAGTAAAGGCAGCAAATGGGCCTCCTTGGACAGAGATCATCAGACAAAAAAAACCTTGGGGGCTTCTGAATATGCTCTGAAAACTCTCACTGTATTTTGTTTCACTGTAGTCAGAGAAATAAAATTTGGTTTAATTATCTCAGGCAGAAATTAGGTTACTGCACATCATCTCTCAATTTATTTTATTCTACTGACTTCCAATCCTCAAATGTCCTAAAGGGACGAAGTTCAGGTAGCCACAGAAGGAGCAGCATATCATCACCCAACTAATTGAGGTGGTCATCAGGAAAACCTCAGCTAGAGAGAAGATCAGAGGTGCTGAAAGGTTTGTTTACTAAAACAAATACATTTGGTCACTGTGAGATTTTCCCACCTGGCTGGACTCAAGAAAGTGGAGAAGGCAGTCAGAGATACTGTACATCTCAGATTGTGCAGAAATTCACAACTGAGGATATGACATTAAGAGACTATGGAAAGACTAGACAATAGACAGGTAACATTCAGGATCGATGAGAGAAAGTTCTGGCATAAAACTCTAGCAAGTCCAATCTGTGATGTGAGCTGGTCTTAAATGTGCAAATAGTACAGTTCATTCCAGCAGTAACAGGCCAACTCAGTTAAGAAAAACACCTGTTAAGCTCTGCCTGAACCAGAACAATTTTAAGGCTTAAGGAACAACCCTTTGCTGCACCTTCAAAAATGCTTCACTGAAAAGCACATTGGCACTGCACAAAAACACAAGCATCCCTGTGGAAAATGAGACATGTGATGAGCACAAAGAGCTCTGAACCATCTGAGAAAGCCCACTGCCCTCTCCCTGCCTGCCTTCAGACATGCAGCAATGGACAGGCAGAGAAAAGCAAACCAACCAGTTCATAAACACACTCGTGACATCGCCAGGCTATGTCATACGACTTTCTGGCTGATCAAATGCTCCTCAGTCATTCTGGGAAAGGTTTTGTAATAAAATACAGGATTTATGTTCTGTTACCACACCATGTATTCAAGCAGCTTTGGAAGCCAGGGAGCAGCTTCCCCCAAGGATCTTCAGGAGCACAGCCTACATATGCAAAGGAAGGAGAGCAAGACCATCATCTTTCCTTCTTTTACTGGCAGGGCATGCAAAAAATGCATTCCTTTAAGCCATGGAGCTGCATCTTAACTCCTTTACAGTCCTGTTCTTTAATATGTGTTCTGCAGTCTTTGACATGCTTGAGTGCCTTGATGAAAGCAAAGAGCAAAGAAGGAAAACATGGATCTGTGAGCAAGGGGAACAATAAACGAGGTGCAGTGCAGACACTGCAAGGCAGAAGTACAGCCTGGTAAATAAAGGAAACAAGGGCAGAAATGTAACATTCTTCTCCATTTTGCTACTGGTTTCCGAAGTGGTTATGGAACATCCCATCCCCTTTTCACCTGTTAAAGAAGAACAATAATGTTAACTTACCACAGGGAAGAATAAAGACAAGCAATCTCATGTCTTTGGAGAGTGCTTTGAGAACTTGAAATGGAAGGTATTATAAAACATCATGCCATTGTTTTCCACAAAGGATTGTACAGATGAATTTGAATGGGAACAAGTATCCATGTACATCGTCTTTGTGTGGTACAACGTCCATAGAAGGCCAGGATTTGTTTAGATCTATGTTTTGTTTCAGTAACATGGGAAGGGAGATTTAGTGGTAGCACAGGAGAAACAAATGAAATCCCAAGGCCTTTCTTCATTGCTTTTCCTCTGAAAGTCCTATTTATTGCATTTTCCCTGCAGCAACACAACCACAGCAGCAGTAGCTATGACTGTTTCCATATACAAATCATATTAGATAGGATTTACAATATTAGCTGTCAAATAATATCCTTCCCTCTACCACCCACTCCTTAATATACAGCCAGCGATGTGAGAAAATGAAAATTTGGGTTTGGGAAGGGGGGCATGTCTTCAGGCAGGGATGTTATCTGCAGGGCATGCCAGGAAGAAACTCAGAATTGAAAAAGAAAGATAAAAGGGCAAAACCTGAAGTATTTTCTGTGGAGATGACTGTGTTGTTACTCTGTTACAACTGCCTCTTTCAAGTGATGAGAAAAGCTGTGATCTTCACCTGTATTCCTGCAAGAAAAAGATTGCTCAAACAATGCACAACTCCAAACAATTTTTTTTTTGTTTTTCAACAAAACATAATAACACATTTTACTTTTACATAAGTGCTTTCAGCTTGGGATCTCAAAATAGTTTTGACTTTTATTATCATAATCACAATACAGCAAAAAGGGGCAGTCCCTTTTTAGCAACAGGATGGCTGAGGCATGAAGATGTTGTGCAAGCAGGCTGTGGTCACAGACAATAGGTGCAGGATTAGAAATGGAATCCAAGTAGCCTGACTCACAGAGCCTTGAAAAAATAAGACCTCATCCCTCATCCTCCATGTGTTTAGAATAAATCAATCCCCCACAAACATGGCAGCTGCAGAGCAAGCACAGCTCACCTTGGACACACACCTCAAAACAAGCACAACACGTCCACCCTCCCCTGGGCACAACCGCTTGCTGAGAACTTCCCTTTTGGACATGTGAACAACCCAAACAGCTCCACTGTCACCTGCAGCAAAGGGAGAGACAGGATCACCCCTGGCCTCTCAACAAAGATGTCCTGTACCACACACCAAAAGGGAGACCAAGCTGAACCAACAGCCCCGGCAGCCCTGGTGAAGCTCTTTCCTGTACAGCACCATACTAAAGCACTTTATTTAAAAAGAAAACCAGACTGACACCACATGGAGCCATTCACTGGGCCCTGCCAGAATGCCACCACATAAAAATGGTGGGACTGTGAAGTCCCTTTTGCAGTGATGTACAGGACCATAGATGGCAAAAGGCAGCAAGGGATCAGAATTTATTCCCGTTTTCCCTGAAGATAAATCTGCTGTCAGCCACTGAAGCTAGCAAAAAAAAGAAAGGAGTCTGGCCAGCAACTTGCAGTCACTCCTTGCAGTCCTGTACATGTCCATCCTTTCACAAACAGCAGATCACATGGACATGCTTGGGAAGGAAAAAGCTGGTACCTTCAAAATGAAAAGCTTCTGTACATGAACACACACAGTGAAAGACACCTGGGGTTGTGCTGACAGCTTTGACGCTCTCCCAAATTGCTTCTGCAAATGCAATTGTTCATCTTCTGTCAAAACACAAGGAAATAAGTTTGCTCTTTGGTGGCAGTTCCTTAATAGGGAAGAGGAATTAGCATCAGCCTTCAATACAGAATGAAGGTCCACTTCATCATCACAGTCAATTCCAGCCAGCATCCACCTACCCTCGACCCATTGGAGGGAAGGAGAGAAGGAGAGAATGAGAGAAGGAGGGAACTATGTCAAGTGAACATTATTTCAGGGGACCCTTCCACTACACTGGGATTATATCATTGTTGGTATTTCTACAGCAGACTGGACTATGGTTCTACTGTGGGAATAAAATAGAAAATTTTTGAGCTAAAAGAGCCAATCTAATATTTAGTGTCTTAACCACTCATCTGGATAACATCAGTGTCAAGATTATTTTCATCTCAGGAATATTAAACTGGAAGGAACTTCAAGCACTAGATTCAGGTTTATGAAGGGTCAACATGACACTCCCTGTGTAAAAAACTTAAAAATGTACACAGAAATCAGTGTTGTTAAAACTAGAGGAAGCTAACTTTTAATTTTACTGATAAGTCTTAACAGCAACCCTTAAAATAATTCCAAAAATAGATGTAACATTTTAAAAGGAAATTTTGATTTAGAAATTAAGTTTTCTTCAACATTTCTGTGGGAGGAAAAAAGAAAACAAACCCTTTTAATTTATAAAGTAATGCTTAAAGGAGTTTCCACTAACATGATGCTATTAAACTTGCTTAATTTGCTTACCAAGGTGTCAGTTTGTGGAAGTGGTTGGGGTGCTGAGGGAGAGGAGAGTCTGTTTGTCTGGGGTGGGGGTGTTTTCAGGGGTTTTTTTGAGTTTTTTTCCTAAATAAACTGCAGGATGCTATGGTATGGGCAGAAGCAGCACCTTTAGTTACTGGAAAGTTGCTGCCTGTCCATAAAGCCTTTGCATGAGCCAACCATCAGAGGGAAGTACTTTGCTCCAGGAATGTGCAGAATCTGGCACTTTTCCCTGTGTGACTTCATCTGATTGGTGATTGCCAAGTCCCCTAATTTGTCAGTGTGTCTCTGCAGGGTCTCCCTGCTCTCTGGGGAGCCAACAGCTCCTCCCAGTTTTGCGTTGTCTTCAAACGTGCTCAGTTCGTCTCTTCCAGGCCTACATCCAAGTCATCAATGAAGATGTTGAAGAGCACAGGGCTGAGGATGGAGCCCTGCAGGGCCCCACTGGTGACAGGACCCCAGTCTGAAGCTTCATTTGCAGTATCCCTTGGTGCCTGACTTGTGAGCCAGCTGCTCACCCATTGCCTATGTGATTGTCCAGCTGGGTGCTCACACAGAGCATCCAGCCACCAAACAGGAGAGGCACCAAACAGGCAGTTGTTCCCCCGAGCTACAAACCAAGCCCCTTCCCTCCATGCTGGAGATGATATCAGTACTGCTTTCACTCAAAGGAGAAGTGGACCCACTATTAGCATGCTCATCTCTGCAAAACAGGTGGGGTTACCTGCCAGGGACACAGGAATTGGGGCCAGAGGGAATTAAGCCATAGGGTGCAACTAAAAGTCACAGCATGAGTACTGCCCCAGCAACATCTGGTGTGGTTACAGCCATGGGTTGCTCAGTTTTAAGTAGCTATATTGTACATTTTCCCTCAAATATTTTTTTTTTACCTCTGTCCATTTCCCACAGTCACACAGCACTTTACATCGTAAGATGCCGGCATAACAAGTGACACCAACTCCTTCAAGAAAGCGTCGCTGATGTTTTTTACTCCATGTACAGCCTTCAAATATCATAGTAATAAGTGCTTTGTAAAGGGCAATAAATAGAATCTACAGATTTTGACACCTGCTAGTGTAACAGGCACTTTTCAAAGATGAGGAACATTAAAATGTTCTGAAAATTGCCAGCGTCTGGAAACCTAATTCCCTAAAACAGAACCTGATGTAAAAAGGGAATATAGTTTTGAGAGCTATTATCCTTTGCAAATCCCTTCTTTGACCAAGGCAAAGGTACTGAGCTAATGGATCTTTTATAAAATACACTTTCACTAAAAGGTTTTCTTGTGACAATTTGTAAGCCATTACAGGTGCAAAGTCCCTTGCAGAAATTACTAGTCTAGACTGAAAGACTCAATTCTTAAACTGAACCACTTAAATTTTTTTTTAACCATCACTCTCTCTTTATTTGTGTACCAACAAAAATGAAATTAAATGCTTTATAAAATATTCAAAGGCTTGTAAAATCATACAACAAAGACATTTTGACTTAAGCAATAGTTAACATTGCTAAATGACAACAAAGTATTTATTCATCTGTAAAACATGGATAACATCTTGGGACAAACAAGCAGTGATATTTTCTCAGGCATCAGTCACTAAGTACAATACTAGTCTAACTTGGAACTAAGTACTACCATACTCAACACAACAAAACAAAGCACCACCCAGAAATTTTGCAGCTCTTATAACTGCTTTCATCCTTGTTCTGTCAGGCATCACATGGCACACTTTCAGAAACAGGACCAAAATTAAGGAATATTTAAAAGCTGGCCTGTGTGTAGGAAAGTTTCTCCCTGGGGTGCCAGGTGATTCTGATATGCCAGTTGAAATAAACAATTTCCACTGCTCATTGCAGAGGGGAAAAAAGAAACAATGACAAAAAAAGCATCTACATATTCACCCCTTTACTACATCAGCTGCAGACCACCAGTGCAGTGACTCTTGATGATGCCACTGAAATTTTGGTAATCAGCCATCAGACCTGTACAACATCAAGACAAATCCCAATATGTCCACAAGCTGTGGTTCCATGGTTGCCTTTAGACTCAGGTGGAAACTGATGACTCATTTTCATAATTTTTGTCATAGACAGGAAGAACAGTGACTTGCTTTGAAAAAATCAAGGGTGAGAAACTGGAGAACAAATATGATCTGGTCCAATTCAAACCCCAGGAAATAAATAGTTAAGGAGTTAATAAACAGCATTCTGCCCATGGAATAAACACATTCTTATTAAGAGGGAAAAAGTACCTTTCATCACAGCTCAGAACCCTGAAAGTGGCATGTAAAGGGGTAACAACCTCAGTTTTGAGTCATGTTTTTTAATTGCTGTATGAACTATGATTTTTTAAAATGCATTTATATTTTACAAGGTGTTTTCCTGCTGATTTCTTACATGTGAAGTCTGGTTATTTTCTGGAAGATGTTAAAATTGCTTGAGAAAGTGTGAAAGCTTATTTATCATAAGTCCAAAGCCAGGGAAACTCTAAGAATCATTAGTGAATGGGATTGCAATCAGGCTATTAAAAAGTTTGGGGAATTAGGCAGTTGTAGGTATAATGTGTGAGTTCAGCTGCATGAAGAAGGCTGATTGCTTATTCTTTTACTTTCTAATATTAGTATTTGAAGGACATAACCCATGTTTAAAGATTCTGCATCTTCAGTTGTATAAATCAGTTATAACCTGCTGCTGGCCAACAGGGTCACGCTGACACATGATCCTGACACAGGCTGAACTCTGGACATGCACCAGTGTCCTTCAAGAAGATCAGAAGTTGTATTTCTCATCTTTTCAGAACTGCTTTGAACTATCACAGGCAAGCTTGAACATTCTATTGACAGTAGACCCAAAAGGTTTGTAAGACAGTCAAAAAGCAGCACTGCACAGGAAGGACACAGAATTGCCAACATCAAGAGATGCCAAAAGGCTAATATCACCCAAGAAAACAGATATTACATTTTCTGATGCAAAACTTGACCAGGTGGTAAAAAAGTCATATCTGTGCTGCAACATAGGATGTAGGCTGTCACTGCTTTCCAAAATCTTTATAATTGCTTCTTCATGAATGCCTGCACTTTGTCTGCAATGCAGGAAGCACTTTCTCAGGCCCTAAACCAACTGAAGGAAGAATTTAGGTTTGGATCTGTCTTGCTTATCTAGCATTACAACCTTAGGCATTTGCAAGGCGCAAGTTTAAATAAACTATATCTTTCCTGAACTGCAGTTTGCTAATGGCCTTGCTTTCCCCACCAGAGACCTTACACACAACTCAGCATTTAGTAGAGGAAGAAAGTCCATGACTACAACTCTCTAAAAATCACATCTCTGTGATGAAACACAGACAGTGCAGCACAGAATAGAAAGAATAATATTGAGCTATACAACAGGACAGAGCTTCTTCAAAGCTTTTTGGCTTTGTAGGTAAAATGTATATTTTGACCAACAAACAAGAATGTTTGGGGTTGGGGACTGAGAAGCAGTGGATACCAGAGGGATGAAGAAGTCTGGGAATGAGATGAAAGCTCTTTGTATATGGTGAAACAAGGGGCCAAGAGAGAAGAAAAGAGTTTTAGGAAATCCCTTTATTTGTATACATTCTGCTCTTCCCCTCAGCCCTCTCCCACTATCCCTATCCTCTGGGACACAGCATTTTTTCAGTTTAACCTGAGACCCCTAACCTCTGCTTCCAGCCCACTTCTACCACAAAGTCTCCTCCTCTGACCCTCTTCCCCACACAAATCTCTTTTCACTTTCTCCTGCCAGAAAGGGCTTGAAAGGAGGAAAGGGCAGGGCTGGCCATTGCTCCACTCTTGCATATTGGGCAGAGAAAGGGCAGGATCAGGAGGGACAGGGATTCTGCTCCACTTAGGGCAGGAGTGAAGCAGGAGCAGAGGTGAGACACAACATCTCAGAGCAGTTATCACCCCAGCTCCCACTGTCCCTTCCCTGGCTTCCAAAACAGCCTTCCTGAATGAGCACAGCTCTGCTTATTTGGTGGCCTCTTAGAGCAAAGGGTCTGCTCTGCTTTGGGGCTGCTGGAACAGGTTGCCAGGAAGGGGACCAGCCAGGTGACAGAGGGCTAGAAGATGTCACTGGAATAAAGATGTCACAGGAACAAAGAGTGATAACAGCTCTCAAAAGGCAGAGGCTGGAAGTGTGAAGCCAGGAGAAGCCCCTGAAAGGAATTGCAAAGCAGAGGCAGGGGCAGGATGGAAGAGCTTCTCACCATTTCTTGAGAAAATCAGGCCAGCTGCCATCTCAGCCAGCCTCTCCTCTCCCTGGGTCACCTCTGGACAGCCTGGTTCACTGTGGATTCATAAAACTCTGGCTTTGAGGGAAATGTTGCCTCTACAGAGCACCCCATGCTGCTGGGTGGGCCTAATGCCAAGCACAGGTTGTCAAGTAAATTCCAACCACTGGGCTCAAGAAGTAACATATCCTGAAAGAATGCCAAACCAGAGGCATCTCCACAATGGGGACTACACAGCACAGGAGATAAATGGACAACATACTGAAACAGAATAAATCCAACAAACTGCAGCTGGACTACATGGAACCTATTGGAAAACAGCTATTTACTGCTCTAATTGAGCCTGGCCAAAACAGTGCTGTGAAGCAAACCCTGCCTGAGAAAAAGATATGTAAACAGATCTTGCAGAGAGGAATAAAAAGGCAAGAAAGGGTAGAAAGAAGCTCTTCCAATTTTTTTGTGTGTCTAGAGAGAAAATATCAAGTGCCACATTCCAGAACTGGGGGCTAGGGATCAACTACCATCTTATCACAGATTAGTTGGCACCAGCCATGCTGCCACATTAGCTTTTAACTGCTCCTTCCAGCTCTACAGTTGGTTTGTTTTATGAGATTGTGTGAAATGTCTAAACTATATGGGACTCAGTTTCCTTAGCTCCAAAATACAGCAGTTGTTTCTCTTCATTGGGACTTTGAATTTCTGTCACTCTGTAGCCTGCTCCCCCAGCTTTACCCCATGAATCCGTGTGGCAGCCTAAGCCCTAACTGCTACCCTCTGATGAAGGTTCTGACTTCTGTTCATGCTGCTATTGCTAAAACAGGAGGAGAGGGTAGAAAAAATGAGAGAAAGCAGATGCTCCCAAAGTGATCCAGTCTGGGAGATGCTCCCACTGCTCATGGGCCCTGGGTGACCGTCTCCATGAAGGGAGAGCATAAGTAGTGGAAGAGGAGAAGGAAACCAAAGATGAAAAGGAGACTTAAGACAGGTGTTGAAAGACAAAAGAACCAAAAAGAGATGAGAAGATGGAACATAAGTGTGCTGGGTTTGCATTAATTGATATTTAGTAAGAAGGAAGAAGCAACCCATGGCAATTATTCTAATGCTTCTTATTCTTTTAGTCCTGTTAATAAAGGTTCCTTCATACCTTTTAAATTTTGAGCCTGTTTTGTCCTTCTCACAGCAAGAAATGAGTAAATGAAATTTTTAGCCAGTGCTAAACCCACCACAATATGATAAGGAAGAAGAAAAAAAAAAAAAAAAAGAAAAGGAACAGAGAAGGGGGAGTTACCTCCTGAATTGAAAGTAAGAGTGTGGTCTTCCTACTTCACTGCATTTACCATTTACATCTATTTATCATTTACATCTATGAAGTGTGGGGGGGTCATTTTTAATAGGGATGGTATTCCCCTTAAAGGGATACCTCTCTTAAAGGACTGAGCACAAGAAAAAAAGTGTTCACAGTTTCAGTACTTGTTCTCTGGATGTGATTTGACCACATAATTTTGTACATCAGCCTTTGTATCTTTTGCAGGAAATGGAGAAAATCTCGTTATCCTCACAAGGGATTAGTGAGCCCAAATTCAACTTTTTGTTTCCCAGGAACCTGGATGCCAGTTCTTGGCTTTAAACTTGTTTCAGAATAGCAAAAATGAGTTGACCTGTACTAAAAATCAAAGAGACCTGCTTTTTTCCAGACTTAATACAGTCATACCATTAGATGGCCTGAAAATTAAACAGATTAGCCCTAGGTAGTGCTAACAGATGGCATGGCAGGGCACACACATGGCAGAGCAGCAAGGCACCACTTGGTCATCTCCCTGCTCTGCTGTTAAACTTGTGGTGCTCCAAAGTTGTATTCAGCAATGGGCATTGGCCCCAGTTTGCTCCACTGGCAAAGTCATCTTTGACTGGGAACAGGACAAAGACTGAAGCCCCGCACTTGTCATGCAAAGTAACACATCTCAAAAGCCGCCCTGGGACTCCTTGTTATGGTTCCTGCTAAAGGGACTGTAAAGCGAAATCAATTAATACCAAAGGCAGCAAAGAAACTCAAAGAGACAAGGAGCAATTTAAAAAGCCTGTCAGAAGGGGGCAGGGAAGGAAAGACCAACTTAAATCATCATTAAAGGGTTGCAAGAACAGAAAGAAAAGAGCACAAATCCCCTTCAAAAGGGGACTGCAGACCATTTTCCAAAACATCCTTTGAGAAGATGTTGTCTGTATGTTGCTGGGGCAGCCCTGGAACCAACAGAGCTGAAGGAAGGGAACACCTCCTCTCCAGCCAGGACAGCCTGGTGGCCTGGCAGTACAAGAAACAAATATTCAAAGCAAGCTCTGCCACTTCTCAATTTCCCTCTGCAAACCCTCTCCTCCTCTCTAGCTGTACCCCAGCAGAATAAGAGAGCGCAACAAGCCCTGCCGGGGGCAGATTCATCCCCAGCTTTCAGGGCAAGCAGGATGATAGGTTTTCACTGATTCTGAAGCACATGGGGTACATGGGGTGAGTGAAGTGCAGCGATTTTCCCTTCGGAAGAGGTTTTGCGCGTCGCCTGCAGCAGAGCAAGTGCACTGCCATCTCGTGGTGCTTGGGAAGGACTCAGCCAGGTAAAAAGGCAGGATAATCAACAAACGCCGGACACGGGGCTCATCACACTGTGTTTGTGCTGGGCCCCGACCGGGAGCAAAACGCCAGTGTGGGTGAAGGGTAACACGATCCCTGCCTTTCCCATAAGCAGCGGCTCCAGAAACAGCTGGCTTCGACAAGATCTTGTTCCCCTCCTTTAGACTATTCACCAGACACGCACCCCAGCAAACACAGCTTCCATTTCACACAGAGATCCCACAGGGACTACAACAAATGACACGAATTTGGGCAGCAACATGAGGTGAAGATACCTGACAACACAGGGCAGGCTGTGTTTATCCCAGAGAGCAAGTGATGCTCTTCTCACTGCCCACCTACCATAAAACCTTGTGCTGTGGTGTGGCACAGCATTAAATCTAATCATTTCTGATTAAAGCCCAGGATCACATGCACAATCCAAAGCCCTAGAACTGCACACATCACACATACTGCGGAGAAACCTTTTTATTTAAGGCCAGCACCTTCCTCATCTGACACTGTAAAGATCCAGGGAGTTAATATAAACCAGCAGCAAATAGGGAACAAAGACCTTGTGTATAAATAGCTCATCAGTACGTAGAAAGACAGCTACGCAAAAGCAGAAAGAAGCAGACTCGTACATGTTATTAAATTGCATCCAGAAAAAATAGTTTTAGGATACATTGGTGGTTCCAAAGACTTTGCAGAGCTACTTCTCCTCCTCAAGATCAACACTGAATGGATGGGTGCACATATGCTTTGGTTATGCTGTAATTCTAAGCTACTGGAATGGTACTATGTCCCAAATTAACATGGCCTAAGAGCTATTTCCCCTCCATACGAAAACCTGAATTCTGATTTACAATTAGCAAATGGAGATCATTTCACCCTAAGGGGAAAGCTTCACAAACCTTTACAGCCTGGACAATGTCAAGTTCTGCTGCTGTGAAACACCTGCCTGCTCAGCACCAACCCTTCCAGCTCTGCCAGCAGACCTCCCTAACAGAGAGCAAAGGTAACATTAACTCCAGTTCTGTGCCCAACGAAGGTAAAAAGACAAGTCTCAAAAGCAGGAAAAGTTTTCTTTGGTTATCTGCAACTTGGCTATTAATTCTCTAGAAAACATACAAACAAACAAACAAGATAAACTCTGTTCCCAGCTTCCTCCTTTTCCTGCATATGCCTAAATGATCTTTCCTAAGTAGATACTACTTTCCACCCCTACCCCATGCTCAGCCCAAACATGGTTCCAAGCAAGCTTGGAGGTGGAGGAAGAGCCTTCACACAAGGAAGAGTGAGCCCACTTGACTCTACAAAAGGCTGTATAGATTCATTGATTGTCTCTTGACCCCTTCATACACATTCTTCACTCTTAACTTTCTCATTCACATATTGATACTTTATTGTTGTTATTGTTTCAGTGTCAAATATCCACGTGCCAATAAAACAGTCATCAGTCAAAAATCTAACTCGGGTTTGAAAAATCTGGAAAAGACAATAAACATGAAATAATAGGCAGCACAGGTGTGCACTTAAAAAGGAAAATCATAAACTAACATTTTAAAGGACCCTCTAAAGAAGGCATAAATATTTTGTCCCTTTTATAAAAGAGGCAGAGACCAGAGAAAGAGAATAAGAATCTTAAAATGGATAGAAGAATGCCATTGACCAAATTGCCTCAGTACATACAGGAACTCACCTGCACCCCCATACACAGTGTGTGAGGGATCTCCATGTGATCCTGAGCTCACCAGATGGAAAATCCTATACCAGTTCTCACATGAAATAGACTTCTAGGGTAAGGATTCCCTACATTTTGTGGGAATTCTGTCAGGAAGAGATGCAAAGCCTCGTGTACCTCAAGGGTACAAACAATCAGCAACAGATTAGAAAAAAATTCCATATAGCCTCTGAGCCTCAATAGGTTTTCAGACAGAGGAGGGAGAAGAGGAAAAAGTAATGGCTTTTATTACAGTTATTCTCCTCCTTACTCAAACCCATAAAAAGACCGCCAAAGGAAGGATGAGGATGGTGGCAAAGATTGCCAAAGCTTACAGCAGTTTTAGAAGGTGCCTAATTCAGGCTCAGGGCTCTAGCACCTCTCAGCAATAGCTTAAAAATCTATAGAGTACAATAAAGTACGGAATATAGAGCACATCCTCTTTTGGATGCACAATCTGATATTTTGTTGCACGTTGTCCCTCCGTTTGCATACACATGTGCCGTACTAACAAATACATGTATGTACACAGAGGTTTAATAGACATACATATACATAATGCTGACATTATTTCAAAGCTTTAGTGAGAAACACTGCAGACAGCAAGAATACTATGAAGTTAAATCAGGCTGAGCTTGTTTCCATATCACTCACCAAAGAAAAATACTTCAGATGACTCCCAGCAGAAAACACGCAGTACGGGATATCTACAGGTTTTGCCAGAAGTTCATCCTAGGCACAACTCAGATTTATGGACCAAGCCTCTTGTGTCTTGGACTTACAAGGTGCAGATTAGCCACTAACAACCCAGACACGTGCAAGGCCTACAGGGTGGAGTTCCAGTTCTACAACCTTCATATTTGCTCATGGCACAGAGGAAGGATGTGATGCTGGAGTGAGGGCAGGGCCTTGCCCTAAAAGGCTCTGTGGCTTGGCCCCTTGTGAAGGTTGGAGGATATGGGCTGGAAAACACCTCAAGTAAATATGTCCTTTCATATTTAATAGTCAAAAAGGAAAGTGTGGAAGAGACATAGCTTCAAGGAGAAGATTAAATTAATTTGTCTGGCTGGCAGAGGTTACACAAAAGGCTAAACTGGTCTTTTTTGTGTCCTACTAGCTCATAGGAATGAAAGTAAATGTCTTGGTTTAGGGGGAGTAAGTGGCTGTAATCCTTTACTGAAAGTGGTTCCATTATGTGGGCTCAACATTTCATTTAATTTAAAACTGTCACATTCAGGTATGGGTCTTTATGCCTTTTCCCTTGCTGATCTGATTAGATATCCCAGTGAAAAACTGCGCAGAGATGGCAAAACAACACCAGTTCAGAGGCCCACGTGTATGAGCAGCCCTGCCTGGACACAGCAAAGCCACTTCCCCTGCTCTCACACCACTGCCCCATTGCATGTTACATGGACCTTGGGCCTCTCCAATAATCTGGGCTGGGAAACTGATTCCGAGGAAAAATAAGGATTTTGTTTCCCCTCTGTGGGTCCTTATGAAAGAGGAACAGATCCCTGGTCCAGGTGACTGTACAGGCACCCAAAGTTTGGTCTGGCAGCAGTGAGGAGATGACAGAGAGGAAGGAAAAGTGGCAGGAAACAGCACACTACAGATAGAAACATGCACAGTGCAAGACTTGGAGTGACAACATCATGAACTGCAGTGTCTCTGTTCCATATGAAGTAGACTTCACAGCCTACTTCCAAAACTTTATACTATCATATATTCTCTATGTGCTCCACGATAAAAAAAAAGGTCTTTTTAGAATACAAAGAGCTTTCTAAAGTGCTGCTAGGACTGTGTTACTCATTTTTTTCAGCACAAGCACCAGGTGTCTTAGTTACAACCACCCTAACCACAGAGGGCTCAGAAGGAGCTGTTAAAACTGGGGGGAAAAGAAAATAAAAGAAGGGACATAGAAATAGCTCTCAATTCTAAAAATATCTTAAGTCTTATCTCAGACTTTCTGAAAGCTGTAGGAAAGAATTTTTCCCACAGGAAAAAGAGGGTGATTTCCCACACATCGCTCCCATCTCAAGCTTTGCATGGCTGCAAGTTACCTGACTTTCACCACATGCTATCATTTTGTCCAAAGCACAAAATTATGACCATTCTAGGCCATGTTAACTACCTGGCAGGAAAAAAAAAATATAAGATCATGGTAGGAGGGGAATCATTACTCTGCCAAGAGGATTATTTTTTATTTAGTGTTGGTATTTAATTTTTTTAAGATGCTGGAATACTCTCAGAAAAAATAAATTACTGAACAGAAGCCAGCTGACATACGTATTTAATTGGTATCACATGACTTCTCAGTTTAATATCACCTCTACATCTGTGAGAGGACATTCATGTGCATTTAATCTACAACTGCTGCCAAGAAACGTTGAAAGAGTAATTTTCTCTGTTTATGTAGGTCCTATGTTGTGTTATCTTTTCGAGCTCCAAAACAAGCAGAGGAAGCATCTGCTAACTGAAAAAAAAAAAAAAGCCAAACCAATTCCCAGGGCAAAGGAGACATTATCCAACATTGTGCAGGTGTTTCAAATAAGGTATTAAAGCCAGGTTAATTTTACACCGACTGGAAACAAGGAACAATGGAAGAACATTTCAAGTGACAGTCATATAATGTGTCTCCATCCCACATATACTTCATGGCATAATGGCAAAGGATGGGAATGTTATTCATATCCCTCAAGAAAGTTGACAAATATCAGAAAATATTAGAAAAGCAAAGTGAAATTTTCATTTTCATGCCAAAAGTCTGGCTCCACTTATTAGCTCTTTCACAGTCATTTATACAAAGCTCCAATTACCACCACTGTGTATTACATTCATCTAGGAAAGAAATCAGAATGAAGAATATGCCAGCAGTTTACCACTGGGATTAAACTGACTCTTATTTTTGCTCTTTCAAGACTGTGTTACTTGTGGGGAAAAAAAAAACAACAAACCAGCACTGCTGCCTCTGTTGGCTTTTTCTCCTTTAAACAGTTGATAAACACAGCTCTATTTCCCTGTTCTTTTGAAGCCTTAAATGTCAGTGTAATTCCAGGTTGGTTTTTGCCATGTCCATAGACAAGTATTACTATATCTCTGTCTGTTCCCTGGACTTTCTGCAATACCTGTGAGAGTAGAAGAGCAGTGAGAACTTTGATGGAAAAATGCAGGTTTTTGTTAGAGAAACTGATAGAAACACCAAGATGCAGTCAGGCACACAACCCCTTCTCCGAGGGAGACACATGACCTCTTCCTGAAAACATCATCTCTTCTTGCAAGAGTTGATGCAATTATATCCTGAAACCATCATGCCTAAAACAAGAGTATCAAGAGTTTTTGGGTGCTGTTCATAGCTTATACTCAGATCACGTTCACATAGGACTGCCTATGGTTAAGCACTTGCTTCTGCCTTTATATTCACAGCTAGATTTTTCCAGCTTCCCTTTAGGGAAGTTTTTGATGAAATTGCAGATCCTGCAGTGAAACATGAAAGCAGCAAAACTTGGATCTCTTCTTGGTGTACCACTGGAAGCTTTCACAGAGGATGCTTCCCACAGCCACGCTTCATGCACTGCCTCTACTTGATGGACTGTGTTTGCCTCTCACAGGGTCATAGCTGGGCTCTCTGTGCTGTGATACCCTGAGCAACTGCAGCTTTCTGCCAAGTCCTGGCAGGCTTTGAGACCACAGAGCTTCCCCCTGCACACAGGACAAGGCTCATCACACCACCCACCCATCTCATAAGCACAGCTACCACTTCAACTTGAAGCTAGTTAGTCCTGGAAACTAAAGAGTGTTACAGTTCTTTAATCTCTGAGTTCCCTCGGCAGAAAAAATGTGTGTTATCACCAAATACTCTTTCTATTTCTGTTTTTAAATGTTATTTTTACAATTCTGATGCTATGAAAAATAAATTAAGAAAATTTAGAGAAAATTGTTTAGATACCTAGATATTTAAGCATTTAGAGCAAATTTAGCTCTCCAGCTCCAGTTCTGACCAACATCCTAGAGAGCTGTGCTTACGTACCTGGAAGCAGAATTCAGTCCTAACTATCCAGAAGCAGGCCTAGATCAAAACACAGGGTTAAGATACAGGGTTTGAACCTAAGGCATGCTCTTAGAGAAAGATTTCTTCAGGAATAACTTGAATGCCAGAAAATTAAGCTGAACCAACTTCATAAATGTTTAATATTATCTAGTGCTAGAGATTTATGTCTAATCAACTAGCTTGACTCAGAAAATAACTACAGTTTATGGACTTTCCCATATA